GGTTTTCCAAGGTGAAAAGCCTGTAGTGCACAGAAAGTGATAGATCAAGCACCAACATCAGTTTGGCTGAGAATCATGTTCGGTCAGTGCAGACCAACAATAAGCAGCAGCACGAGATATTACCAAAATGATCAAAAAGAAGGTTGAGGATTGTCACCTCAAAAGAAAGGTTAGTAGACAGAAAGATAACAGTTTTGAAAACATTTAATTAAAGGTAAAGATTAAGGCCTTGATCCTGCTGAGTCCTTTAATAATGGGTATCTGCCAATAATGATCACATTTTGTTGTACTATTTTAGCCAATACCTATCCATACCAAATAATCCTGGATTGGCCCTGATACCAGTCCTTACAATCGGCTCAGAACATCTTTAGTAAAGATTAAATAAAATATAAAATAATTACATAATTCAATAGTAAATACTTTATACTGATAAATAGATGGATCTAAAAAAGTAATTAATGATGAAAGTGAAAAGTTGAATTCAATTTAAAGTTAAACATGATAAAGTTGAAGATTTAGGTTTATAAAAGTCACAGAACTCTACACTACAAGAAACTGCGTCATTGTATATTTTAAATACTAGAGGAATTAACAAAATTTATAAACTGCTGTTTTCTGTTAACTTTTTTGCCAAGAAAAAGAGCAATTAAAGTCTAGTTTGTGTCCCCTAAATGCTTGTGACAGCAGGCTCTTGGATTCTTTACCACCTTTACTACCCTTGCTGGTTTAGAGGTATTTACACTGTACGTGTGTGTGTGTGTGGGGGTGTGAGACAGAGAGAGCGGGTGGAGAGACGCTGAGGTAGACTGAAGGAGAGAGAAAGAGGGGGAGAAACCGAGGGAGAGGGAGAAAGAGAGACAAAGGGAGTTAATCAAATGATTAATAGATAGAGTAAAATGGAGTCCACCCAGCAAACACAGAATGCTATCAAGCTCACACTTTAAACCACTGAAGGGTTTGTTTTTCTTGTCTTGGTTTACAGTTTTCAGCTTGCCTTGTTTTAAGCTTTGGCCATCCTATTTGAGGTCATGAATCACATTCACACACATTTTTACATGCTGGATGTTACACTATTTCCCTTAATTAATGTTTATACTAGTCTATCATGCTTATTCCCATGACAATATTTTTATAACATTCTAACTAATGGTAGTGCAAGCATTTCCAAATGTGTGTTTCATTAATACTTCATATGTCCAACTACACAGAACCAGAGGAGGAGCACGTTGGCTAATTCAGAAAGAATGTTTTGACCATCTATGAACCCAGTCAGAGTTGTGTTGTTCCCAAAAAACTACAAATCCTGTATCAAAGTGAAACACTGCATTGATATTTAAGAGAATGTGATGATAATATGAGACCCGTTTGATCTGTGCTTCCTATCTCCGTGCCAGAATCGGGTGTCATATCATTTTCCAACACCACACTCGCTTTCATTTCCATGCGCAGACACACACACACACACACACACACACACACACACACACACACACACACACACACACACACACAGATCAATTCTGCATCCTCAGTTATCTCTCCCTTACATCTAATGACAGCAGCTGGAACTTTGATTATTATTATTTTTTTCTTCAGATCCAAGACTCTCCATGGGAGTCCCCTCCTCTCAGAATATGTCGCTTTTAAGTAATTTTGGCTCTGTATTTATAAGGCTCGTGCTGCATTTTTTGCTTCAAAAAATCCAGGAATGATAGGATTTTAACATTTAGAATATGTCCATGAAATAGGTCATTTCTGCATAGTATACATTTTTCTACCTGTGTGGCTAACACTTCCAAACCAATCAGTGATCTCACATGAACTCATTGATTTTGGTCTTTCATTTAAAAAAAATAATAAGAAAAACTGAAAACAGAAATGTACTCAAAGTACTTACACTGCTACAAAATAATGAATTAATCAATGTAAAATAATATAGCAATATATGTGTTAAAATTAAACCTAATACAAAAATTGGAAAACCAGATAATTATATATTAGTGTTTAATGAAATTTCATATACAACGCATAATTTGTAAGTTCTTTATCTCTCTTTTGTAATATACTGGGTTTGCATGCATTTCCCCATATGTCTGTAACCGAGCAGATTATACAACTGTTATATAACACCTGTAGTGCTCATTTAAATCATAAGTAATCCTTGTACTGTAAATATACTCAAAATAAAAGATGCAGTATCATCCCAGTATGCTGTCCCCTCCCTATGGCACACACACACACACACACACCCACACATGTAAACTTTGCCAAAAACTTTAGAGAACCTCTGTGTCCGCAGGTGTGGCTAAGTCTTTGCTGCTTGTCTGAGTGATTGATAGCATTGCAGCTGGTCCCATCCATTCAGCTGTACTGTATTATACATATTAAGTGTGAAGGGCTGGCCTCCTCTCATTTCTTTCATCCCTAAAACTGATATTCATCAGTAGAGAACTGTTTGTTGGTGTGTGTGTGTCTGTGTGTGTGTGACTGTGCATCTATGTGTTTAGGGTTGAGTGACATTCAAATTCAAGATGTTTTGGTTTTTTTTGCCATTTTAAGTTGTTTTGTAATAATACATCATAATATTGAATGATGAATGCACAAAAGGAGAGTACTTTGTGTGAGTGTGTGCACATGTGTATCTCCATGCACCTCAGGGCGGGCATCTAACAGATCTCTTTCCACACTCTGAGGCCATTGGCAATCAGATGTTAAGTGGTCTCAGCATTATCTGAGCCTTAGCAGACACTTTTGAGTCAGCTCAATCAATGTCCATCCATCCAATGCAGAAAAGCACCACCTCCAGGGCCCTGAGGAAGGGAGTTCACCAACGTGGCAAAAAGCTACCCTCTGTCACAGAAGATTGAGTTTGAGCCAAGATGACGGTGCTTACAGAGAATCTGCCAGTAGAAACCCCAGTGGAAAAACCAAACAAACTAGCGGAAGTGTTCAGTGAAATTGTAGCCTGTTTATTTTAGATCAGGAACATGTTGAAGGGAAGAAGGGGCGGTGGTTCAGTTATCCAATGAAGATCTGAACTTGCAGACGTAGGACATTGTGTTGCATGCAGAGCAACGCTTTAGGCAAGCCAGAAAATGTTGGCTGCTGCAATTTTTGTAATATTATTTTTGCATAAATTAAAGCTAATAACTAACATAAAAACTTTCTTAAGGGAGAGAAACTAATTAGCTCATCGTTTAGAGACGGGAAGAAAAAGTGTGGCCCTGGTGGGACGCTCGACATGTAAAAGCAATGATGATTTGTGCAACAGCTTCTCAAATGGCGATGCAGTGGGCCGCATGCTGATAAAGGCTTGTTATACATGATAGTGCTCGATGGATGGATGGGTGGATGAATAGATGGATGACCACAAGTAGCATTATCACCGAGAATATCATTCACACACTAACATAGGACTGAGGCATATGCAAGAAAATACTACATATAGTATGTAATAAGAACCACAGAAAATAATAAAAAAAAAAAGAATTAAAAAATAAATTAAGTGACATATTGTGTCACCTTCCCTGTTGGAGACTGTTCACTTTTCCCTGCCAAATCTTTAGACTATACACTAACATAAGGAATGTTTAATAAGTGTAATGGTCTGCTCTAATGAAATGGCAATATACTCACCAGCCTGATGGAAAAACTGTTAACCCTAGAGAGACAGAGGCAGGGCAGGGAGCCGCCTGAGCAGAATAATGTTGCTGAGTGGATGCAGAAATAGAGGTATAATTAAAGATTTTCCTACCGCCAATGTTGATGGGATTATGACTTTTTTTTAGCTATACAGGGCTCCTTGGAAAGCAACATTGATCAGTTTTGTTCTTCTTTCCTTTAGAATTTGCATTTGCTGTTGTTATTATTATCAATAATAAGAATGTCAGATATATTACTGGTAATGAATGTAAGCCTTAATGTTATTTTTAAATAAAATAAAAAAAGAGTCTGTGTGACTATAACACTGAAAACAAAATAAAGAATAGAAATAATCCTGTCAAATGAAGGTTGTTCAAAACATGTTCAAGTAGGAACACTATGTTACCTGTCTCACCTGTCTCCTAACTATCATAGCCACTTGTTTACACGATCATAAAAGATTTTCTTTGCTTGTTAGCCTTGAAGACAGGATAATGAGCATTGCCTCAGGCATGACTCAGCCAATATGTAGGCGCTCTCCCTTCATTGTGAAAGAGTGTGAGTGTTTTTCTTCTGCTTGTTGTAAGTCCTACAGAGTAGAGCAGCATCTACCCTCAGAGACCCTGGGAAGCCCCTGAGGTGGTGTTTTTCAGAGATCATGAGGTTGAAACACTGATGGGTAATTTTGTTGAACCGTTTGTTCTTGTCAGACCGTTTGTACTGAGGTCTTTTATGCTGTCATCAAAAGGTTGATCTGCCTGAGGAGCACGAGGCTGATTCAATTCAATTTGCACTTATCATCCTCTTTTATTGCTGATGAGTCGTGTCTTCAACATTGCAGCAATCCAGAAAGTTAGAAAATCAACCTTCTGCTGTTAGACAACACACAACAAACATTGTTCCAGCATGGGTTCCCCCATCTAAAAAAAACAAAAAACGGTTCTATACTTTTTTTATCTTTTGGGTTCTTGTAACAATGTTTTATGCTAAATCTATGGCTCTTTATTGTGGCTGCTTTTTCCTCTCCTCCTCTCGCCACCTTCTTCCCTTCTCAACCCCCCCCCCGCATCTCCTACCACTTCCACAACTCCATATTTACCTTGCTTCCCTCTCTGCTGACTATGTCTTTCCTCATACCTCATTGTTTCTGTATCTGCTGTTATTTTCACTCCCATATCTGATTCCGTCTATGCCTCCATTATGATTGCATGTCTCTCACTTCCTTTTCTATTCCCTTATATGCATCTACCTATCTCCATATTATTTTGTTTTCCAAATCTCCTTCATCTCCGGCCCATGTCCTTGCTCCTACCTGCCTCCCCTGACTCATCACTCTTGACTGTCTCCCCCTGCAGGTATTCCTTCCAGGATGAGGAGGATATGTTTATGGTGGTGGACTTACTTTTGGGAGGAGACCTGCGCTATCACCTCCAGCAGAACGTCCACTTCTCAGAGAGCACTGTCAAACTCTACATCTGTGAATTGGCCCTGGCCCTGGGATACCTACGCACCAAGCGCATCATACACAGGTGAGGTGTTTTCTTGTATTTTCTTTTCCTGAACTCTTTTTTTTGTAGATCATTGCCGCTTCCAAGGAGGTAATGAACTACACTAACATACAAAAAGGCATACATGCAAACTTACCATATTTAAAGTGAATGGTGGGCTTATTTGCATATCATAGAAGACTGGACAATTGACCTAGGCAGAGGTCTGCAGCCTCCTGTGCCTTTTTAGTTATACTGTAGTTTGTTTTATAACTTTTAACAAGGCAGATAATGGTTTGCTTCCCTCACAAATAAGATGAAGTAAATAGTCTTTGACTGGTTGCCCCATTATTTCTCTTCCTGATACAGTTCTGTCTCTTTCCCTTGTTTTTCAACACAGAGGTTGAGCTTTAAGCACCCCGGTGTTCTTTTCTCCTTGGCTGTCCACTTCCATATTATTTTCTAATATGACTGCTCCACCACTGTGCAGAGAGGTCAAGCTGTCTTGACATGAAGGTTACACCTGACACAACAGTTTACCCTGAGCTGCAGACTATGGCCATCATGAAATGCACCAGTTCTGTCTACGTTGCTGTGTCGATGCCTCATTTAATTTGTAAAATGCAGGTTAAGTGCTTTTTAGGCAGAAATAGCTGCTGCTGTTGCAGAGCCACAGACTTGCATTGGCCAAAAAAGACATGGCTACGGCCCAATATTATTATTTTAAGTTGTTGCTTTGAAAGAGCTTGGGTTATCCTGTTACAGTCATTGATGCTGCCAAAATACATTAATAAATTGAGTGAGGGAAAAGTTAAAAAATGTCCTTTTTCTGAGGCACTAACCCATTGAGATGTTCTAGCTGGAAATACATAATAAATCTTATTTATGTAGGGACAATGCAAATACTGTATGTCAATGTAAGTCCATACATTTTGCAAGACACTACAGGTGATCATGGTCAAAAATTGTTGATTACTTACATTAAAACAATTATTTTCTGTATATCTGTTTCTGTATTATTTACATTTTCATTTGAATATGCAAATTAGGTATTATGTATTGCTAACTTTTAAGGAAATCTACAGATGCAAACAGTGTATTTTTGTGTGGTTTATTTCCACTAGTCTAAAAGAAGACAAAAAGCAAAATAGGCCAAAATCTCAAAATTGATCACATGAAAAAGTGTCTCGCCTTATTTTTGGATAGGAGTGCCACATGCAATATAATTTGGCTCAAAATAAACATTTGCTCATACTGGTAAAAACTAGAATCTGGGTGGAACTGCATTTCTTACTAAATTTGACATGATTTTGTAGGAGGACTTTAGATACAGAAACCTATACTTAGACTGCTGCAACCTAATGTATACTTTTTGCCTTTTAATGACTCTTACAGGACTGTAAGTGCATACATTTTTAGCATGGACAACTAGAGTAGTGATATACTCCTATCTCTGAAACACTGCAATGTCCATATTCCATCCACTGCTGACTTACTCCTCCACTCTGGTGACCGTGGTAAACATAGAAAGAGAAGCTTTCTCAGAGCATGACTAATAGGAAACATCACTGCAACAGAGAACACTCATTTATGAACACCCTCAGATAACAAATTACGGCATTTAACATAAAGCAGACTACTTGCACTTGTCCACACTCTTAAACCTCCACAGAAAAGAGAGAGAGAGAGAGAGAGAGAAAGAAATAAATGGGATAGATTATTAATTTGCTTATTCATTCAGTCCATTGAGGGGTATGAATATTTAAATCATGTTTTCTATTTCAGTGCTAGAGAGGACAGACTTGCCACTAGATGTGCAGGTGTTGGGGGTGTTTGTTTAGACGGAATCAACATCTTTTCAATCTGCATTCATTAGCTTCAAATAGGAAGAGGAGCTGAAAGTAACTCTCAGCTCATCTCTATGGAAATTGAATATATAATTTCCTCCCTCAGATGTGGACGTGATGACTTTGGTACAGTGGGTGAATGAACTTAAAGCCTTCCGAATGTGTTTGCGTGTATGCACCTGTGTATGTGTGTAAATTTAGCATGTACACATTCTCCTTCCGTTGGTCTTTGATGATAATGAGGGGAGTAATGATAATAATGATAATGACATTAATCATATGCAACGTGACGACACAGTCATTATGTTATTTACAAGTTTGGTTGAGACTACCACAGAATATGCTTGGCAGTAGTTTGGTTTAGTATGATGTCTAGATGTCCACATTAGTTAAAGGTGCAATATGTAAGAATTAAGGAGATTTATGAGTTTAAAACATAAACAATCACCAAAAGAATGTGAAGAAATAACCATTTAAAACAAGGGAAACAAGTTTTAGTCCAGTTTAATAATGAAATTTGGATTTTAAGCTTTTTAGCAAGATGTTCAACATGAGCTTTGTAGGCCTATCAGCGTTGCTATTTAAAATGCAGTACTGAATTAATTACATTTCCACTGAGGTCATGGGAACATCAACAGTCTATGATCTTTTGAAGTGCAGACATGTTGTCTTTAAAGTTTACAAAAATCTTAAAATTAATCAAAAACAGAGTAATCTGGAGAAGAGCTGGTTTGTGGTAGAGATAATAACATAAAAGATGGTATCATCTGCATAAAAACTGACAGCAGTGCTCAGTTGGGAAATAAACATTATTTATCTGAAGAATAAATAGCAGGGGGGCAAATATCGACCCTTTATTAACTATTTGGGTACTTCATTTAAAACCACTGGCAACCACTAGAGTCTATAGATTCCTCCAGGATTCTGCAAAGAAGCACAGTGATTTATGACGGATAACAATTCAAAATTAATGGTAATAATTAATTACCATAATTCATAATCAATAGTATGAATAAAAGTTATTAGCCTAGAAATATAAGGATTATTACAAAGGCTTGGTGTGGTCAAGGTCAGGGTTAAGATCTTGGAGGGAGTTCTGTTTCCATCTGTAACTATACTGGGATCCATACAGTAATAACATGACAACACCAGTGACACACCAACAGACATCTTTGTGTTTAGCATTGCTAATTATTTTCAATAATGAGCTCTTGAACTATATGACAAATATGAACAATCTCAAGGGAGTGAGGACAGAGCAGCAATGAGGTTAACAACAGCAGTTTAGCTCATCTTGACAGAGCCAGGATGGAAAATCAACAAGAGGGCAACCTCATCATGGTGATGAAGTATGACGCAAGGTGGAAGTTACTTTAATTCCCCTATGTTGTTAAGTGGAAATGGATTATGCTTGAAACCTGAAAAGCAGGGTAAATCTTGGAAGTGTTAACTTTAAATGTAACTATATCAGTTTGCAAATGTTGGAATGTTGCAAAGTAATACACCAAGATCATTTTGAATTATAATTCAGGTTTATTACAACTTGGGTCTTACTTAATTTTTTTGTCCACCATCTGCTTTGATTATGAAGACATTGTACTCACCAAAGTAATTGCTGAAATCTGGGAACACTCTGGTATCGCAAAATGAAGTTAGACGAGGAAACATGGGCAGTTAGTTGATCAAACAAGTTATAAACAAGTCAGATATTAACTATTATTATTTATTTGGAGAGCACCTGAAATAAGAGTGGTAATCACCCATTTCACGAGAAAACTGTATGCACAGCTACAGCAAACACGGCAGGCCAAACATGAAGCATGCAGTCCGTCTGTCAACTGTGTTCTCACAGATTTATTTTATAGATATTTTGCACTTTTACCAGATCTCCGCAATTAACTTGGTGAGTATGGTGAATTTTACTATTAACGATTGAAATGATAGCCAAAACTATAAAATGATGATGAATAACCCAGGTTGTAATAACCGGAGTTATGCTTGGCTAATGTTTTTGACCAATGTTTTTTGGTTTATGTGTTTAATGAGAAATAAATAAGGAAATTTCAGTCACAGTTTGAGACTTCCCTAAGCAGAAATCCATGTTTTCATAGACACATAAATTCATCACATTACATTCCACCACAGTGGCTCAGTGGTTAACTGTCGCCTTACAGTAGGAGGTCCTGGGTTCAATTCCCGGATGTGTGGAATTTGCATGTTCTCCCTGTCCTAGTACTTAGGAGTGCAGAGAATGATTTTCCCTCTGGGTATCAATAAAGGTTATTTAACTATACTACAGTCTTTACTTGTAGTACTCGTATTTTAAAACCTTTTGCTTACAATATGACCAACCTTTGGGGTGTTAGATATCAGGTCCAACCTAATTCAGGGTCAGTTAGTCTATTTTTTTACCCCCAAGCTCTATGCGGAGTTTGAATTATTAACAACAGAATGAGTCTCAATTAGATGACATCTTCAGAGACTTGATGAGTCTCTCCAAACAAGTGGAAATATAAATGGCAAGTATGTGACAGGGGAAGGGATATACTGCGTCTGTTTACGTAAGTTAACCTCACAGTCTCTTTGACATCAACAACAATAATCTCTGGCTGAATCCTCAAGTGCATTTTGTTACCTCGTGGAATCCTTGTAATGGAAAAACTTGCATGATGTCAGCCAGCAGACGCACTCAATATGCCTCACTGTTTCGTTTAGGGGACACACTGCCCATTAAAGTTGTTAAGAGACTAATTATCTGGTTCTTATTAAACTGACAGAGATGGATGGAGATCCGGCAGTCAGGCCTCAGTTTAAAGTAAAAATTGCCTATGTGCAATACATTCATTTATGTACACTGGTTTGAAGCATCAACTCCAGTCTTTAATACAGACTATCTGTATTTAAACAAGTAACTAACAAATAACTAATTGATTAAGACCAAGAATTTACAAGATACTTCTTCAAGAAGACGGTATAATGACTCATTAAAGGCTAAAACCATATCATGAAAAACCATAATAATAATTGTCTGTGTAGCTGAAGCTGATATGCAGTATTTTGTTCCTCTGTGCCTCAATACTTCTACTTCTAATCTAAAAACATATCAGTGAGACACCATTGTACTGGTTGACATGTACGGTCATGACCATGAACGCGGGCACCGTAGTCTATTTTGACTCAATCCCACATACAATG